GTATTGCTTTGCAAGGGGAAAGGCTCAACACTGAGAGAAAGTTTTGTCTGCCTTGAGCATTATTTCAACTATGATTTTCAAGCTATGGCCATGTCACCTTTTTGCACACATAGATTCACAGTAGACATCTGTCCAGTGCAGATGTACATTTGTTGTAAATTATACAAGTGCATATGCACACATGTTTTGATTCCCTTCTTTGGGTTGGGCTTGATACCAGGTACTTTACACATTGAGCATCACCAGATCTCAGAACAATCACACAAGTAGGTGTTACATGCTCCTGACACAGATGGGAAATCTGAGGCTCGGAGAAGTCGAGTGGCTTGCCCAGTGACACACAGCTAAGGGGTGGAGTAGAGGTTTTAGTGTGATCCTTGTCCTTCCAAGCTACCAGTGGTTTTCAACCCAGCCAGGGCAATCTTACCCCTAGAGGACATTTGGCAAGGACACAAGAGACATTTTCAGTTGATGTCTGGAGGGAAGATGCCAGTGTTGCTGCTAAATGTCCTACAATTCACAGGACACTTCCCAGAATAAGAAACTGTCAAATCCATAATGTTCAGGTGCAATACTGAAGTCCAGAAACTTCATCTTATGAGAGACTTACCCTAAATGTCCTGCCAAACTGTCTACGGGTGATTATTCGAGAAGTATTCTTGTAACTGTTAAATAAAAGTGCCCATTGATTTCTGTTATTAAATATTATTTTAAGGGACTGTTGGGGGGGGTATTTGGAGACTCACACTGACTTTCGGAGTTAACACTCTCGGACAACAATTGTTTCCTTCTCTGAAGCAACACTTCTTACTCCTGTCGGAGCCTAGTATGGCATTTCTGTGTTTTCATAGTGGCAGAGTGATGTCAAATATAGAACATCAATTTTGGGTTGCAAATATTTGCACAGATGGGTAAAGATAGAGATGTCTAAGACAAATTACAGTTGGCAGGAATGGTGGTTTTCTGCCTGGCATGCCTCCTTAAAGAGACCCAGGGAAGCCAGCGTGGATGGTATAACAGCTGCTGAGGAAGAGGAGTTTGGCTCTGCTCCCTCCCCTACTCCCACTAGCCCAGTTCTGGGTTATGTGTTATAATTCGTCTTCAGGTGAAGACATGTCCAAGGTCTGCTACCCTCTCACCAGTTTAGGGGAGGATACCAAGGGAGGTAGAAATGTTCTCTTGAGATTTTTGAGGGTGTATATTTGCTGGAGCTGTTTCACTAACCCTTCTTTTTAATTGTCTACTTATAGCTTTTTATAGCTTTATGCTGCATGGTTTCAGAGTGTTGAGTAACATGAGGGGAGCAGAACCAGGAGAAATGTGGTATTTCAGGTTTGATTAGGTTGACATGAAAAAGGTTCAGGCGCTCACTCTCCGCCTTGGCTGAAGGCCAGAGGCTCCGATGCATGTTTTGACATTTCCTACCACTGCCTGTACTTTCGGTCCTGCTGGAGAAAGTAAGAAGGACATGGCTTTGGGGGTTTCTGCCCGAAGGTCTTTTGCAGGGTTGACCGATCGGAAAAGCAAAGGCTTGGAAGAAATTGATATGGATCCTAGACCAACCTCTGTCACTCGCTCACCTTTTTGCCTTAGGAAAGCCACTAAATTACTTTCTGTACGTGTGAATTGGGTGTGACAGTGTCTTCCCTGCCTAATTCATAGGGTTATTTTAAAGGCCACACAGAGCTAAGTGTGTATTCTCATAGTTCAAAAACAAGCTAAACCTCCGGTGAATAATCAACCTCTTTAACCACAGATATTGGTAATTGCTTTCTTCCTCTCATCAAGGAAAACTATCAAGTCCATAAAATGAGGATGTCCAGACATAATGGGCTTAATTAAATTCAAAATATTTTTATAGAAAACTTTTACCTTCCTGCAGAGAAAATGACTCTCCTAATAGATACAAAGTAGATGTCCTTGTGCTCCCACACTCAGATGGAAAATCAGAACAGAACAACAAACACTTATTCCATTGTTGAATCACTAGGAAACCTCATGTGGTAAATTAGAATAATGATCATTTGTACCGACAAACTTGTTTCTTTTCACCATGCTGTTTCAAGTGGTGACTGGTTAAAATAAACACATAGATATGTTTTGATGCCCAAAGTAAAATGAATTAACCTTGCCAAAAATCATGAGCTGTTTCATGCCTCCCTTATTTGGTGCTTACTGAACACTGCGGTTACTTTCCATGTGACTTAACTCTGTTCTTTCTCTGCAGAGATGAAAATTATGGTAGGGTGGTGCTCAACCGACATAACTCCCAGGATGCCTTGGACAGGTGAGTGTTTCAGAGGAGCAGCATCATTAGCAGAAACACAAAGGCGTCATTTTTTAGACTCGTTCGAGACAGGCCACATAGTTGTGGCTGCCCTCGGGCTTGCCCTCGCACCCTGGGCACGTGAAGGCTCCTGGGTGATATCACCAGGGGTTCCCACAGGGCACGCTCTGTGCCGCTCCAGCTCCACGCTGCCCTAACTACAGAGTCGAATCACCAATTCCCTACTCCCGGCGGGAAATTAAAAGGGAAAGGGTTCCCACTGAGACGCTATCAGGCAAGAAAGACATCTCCGAACCATAGGGAAAGGAACCCTAAAACATATAGGCAGAACAGCTCCAGAGTTCATTTGCTTCCTGGGATAGTACACTTCTTTTTAGAAACTTGAAGGCTTGTAGAAAATCAGTAAGTGACACTCAATGGGAAATAGGCTGACAAGGACAAATTAGTAGGAAAATTCAGACAAAACTAGTCATCATAATGATTTAAATAATCTAAGATTGCTCAAATAAATACATAATGTTCTTATCAAAATAACTACGCTCACACACACGGCCACACCCATCAGAAGGAACCCAATTGCTTATCAGACACAGGTTTTATCTGGCCCACTTGCCTGTACAGCACCAAAAAGTACCTGGGAAAGGAGCAGGATTGTCTTTCCGTGCTGTGGTCTTTAAAAAGCGAAGTAGACACCTTGACTATGTCTGTTTTGGAAACTCCTATTTGTGAATGTTTCTGAACTCTGGTTCACAATTCTGACCTGTGGCGTCAGCTTGTAGCCCTCTACACAAAGTACCCGGTCTTCTGGTCCCCAGCCTCAGTTTGCCTGTTGGAATGGCTGCTCTGGGACTTGGCACACTCTCCCTTCTCCGGGGTCTTCACAACTTTGAAGATCACAGCCTGGTTCTCAGTTTCCCCCCCCCCCCATCACCAACCAAAGAGAGTCTGATCCTTTGAGCGGAGTCACCAATAGAAACTTCTCCCTCCATTGTACAGGCCTTTCTATGGGACTAAGAGTGAACATACTTGTGAATTGTGAACAGGAAAACTAAGCTGCATGTTCTCAGTGTGTTTTAGGTTAACAGGAGCTTAATGACTTCTGTGCTTATTTTAATGTCAAACTATATTGGTTTCCTGAGACCTTTCTGTTGGTGGACAGCATTTGGGCTAAAGCAGCTCATGGGGCTTTTACCTTCAACAACAAAAAATTTTGAGCCTGAGACATTTCCCCCTTGACCTACATCAACTGTTTCCCAAGCTACATTTTCTGAAAATGGTGGTGTAGGTTATTTTTTCTGCCTTGCACTTGCTCAGATGGAAGCCTGCTCGACACTTTCTGGCCCTCTTGCAGAGGCTGTATCCTCTTTGCTGTTTACCTAATACCACTCTGAAGCACCTACTATGTGCCATCATTGTGCCAGGTGCTGGGAACACAAAGATGCATAAGACACCACCCAGTACCTTCAGAAGCTGTCACATCCACAAAAAGTGTGGAGCTGTAAACTAAAAGGCTAAATAAAACTTACCGTGGAAAGTGCTCTTGCTGCAGTGGGCACAGAGGGGGGGAGGGACTATCTCCACCTGAATAGAGGACGTGGTCGTTCCTGTGGGCCCTGCTGCTTGCAGGGGGAGGAGGAGAGATTTCCAGGTAGGAAGGGTGGCTGGTGGGCTCGGACAGGGAAAGAGACACTCCCTGCAGAAGTGACAATGTGTGCAGAGAGCTCGTCATGAGCAGAGACTGAAAGTAAAGGAAAAAGAAAATGAGACATCCTCCTTCCCCTAGATAACAGGCTTCATCTTATCACAAACGAGGTGACTTCACCGTGAGCTCCACTGCCAGATCATTAAAACATGTCAAATAAGCACAAATGATAACCTGCACAGGTGCCTCCGGTGAGCCAGATGCTATGGCAAGGTTTGGGAGCCAAACAACATCCCTGCAGTCCTAGAACGAGCATCCCAGTGAAAGGTGGAGGAAGGACAGACTGAAAAGAAAGAAACACAGTATGATAAGCTCTGCTGTGGTAAGTGCCAGGAAGGAGAAAGCCAGATGATGAGACTGAAAGTGACTGTCTCAGAAGGGGCCACGTTGTGGAAGGGCGTCAGAGGGGCCCTGCAGTGCCTGTTTGCATTCAGGCATCACAACCAGGGATGAGGTGCAGCAGGATTTCCTCTGTTAGCCATTTTCTGTTCCTTCTGTCTTGTCTTATATATATACACACACACACACACATGCACATGCATGCATACGTTTGTGTGTGTATATGAATGTTGCTGATTGATCATTCTGATGGAGATATTTCCACTGCTTTCATGATCATAATTCCTACTGTTGAGCCTTCTATCCTCTCTTGCCTTATTTCCTTTTCTTCCCTGGCCCCTTTTTTACGTCTTCCTCGCCTCTCTCTGCCTCCTGTCACTCCTCTCCCTGCTTCTCCCCATCTCTCCTCCCTTCCCCTCTCCTCACAGCCTCCATCTGTTCTCTCTTCTCCCACCTTTTTCTTTTCATTTCTTTCCACATTTCCCATTTCTCTCTTTTCCTTTCTTTCCTGACCCTCCCTCTCTTCTGCCAGCATATCTTTCAGCCCTGTCCACAGTGCCGAACTTTAAATAAAGCCATTTGTATTTAGGCTGTTGGACGGCCCAAACCCTGCAAATAAAATACAGTTGCTTGTAAGGGACCAGAGCTCCTAATGTGTAAAAATCAACACCAGTATTCACCTGGCAGGGCAGATGCCATGATTACAAAAGTGGTTTTCCCAGGGTGAGGTTTATCCACTGCAGTCTGGATGTGCTGACCCTGGTATTTCCCCACACGTATGAAACTCAACTGCATAATTTGGGATAGTGGAGGGCTGTGTTTGCACTCTCCCCTAAAAATAGTAAAATAAAATAAAATAAAGATCAACACCACTGACAAGATACATATTACTTACTACTCATTTTCATGTTATGTTGTTTCCTCAATTGCAGTATGTTACACTCTAGTTAGAAATAGTGGACTTAGAGGAGAATTTCTTTATTAAGATGATGAATTGGGTTTGCCATAATGCATTCTTTCAAACTAAAACCCTTGGAATATTTGGATATTTCAAATTTGTTTTTTCTTGGTAACATGTACTTCTACTGAATAGGCCAAAATTTTACCAAATGCATGACAGGTTCTATGCACTATTATTTTGGTAATTTATTTGATCTGTCTCTAATTATCTCTGCTACAGGAACACAAATGAGAGAAATGAGCTAAAAGCCACACTTAGTCGGTACCGATCTGATGACACTTTGGACAGGTAAGGTGTTTTAAACTATGTCAGTAGAAAGCATAACATATTAAATCCCATTTCTTATAGAGCATGAGGTATTTAAATGCTTACCAAGGTAAACTTTGAACCATGATATTTTATATGCAGATATAGAAGGGCTCTCAGAATTGAATTATCTTCATCAAAACTTAAAATCTTAAGACTCAACAACACAGTTTTCTTAAAATCTTGCTAATACTAGATTGATAGAAAAAACTGAAACTGGTGTGAAGAAATTGGTTTGAGCATGGGTAAAGTGGACACTGTGTGGAATCTGTTCCATTTAAAGTGCTGAATGTGGTTGTTTTTGTGGATCTGAGTTGTTGGTCCTTTTCACCCCAATGGTGGAGGAACAACAGTTTCTGTATGGCTACTTTACGGAGAGACTGTACATGTTCGTACCACAATAATTTTGATCCATTCTAGGGTGAAGAAACTAGCTCTTTTTTTTAAAAGATTTTATTTATTTATTTTTAGAGAGAGGGGAAGGGAAGGAGAAAGAGAGGGAGAGAAACACCAATGTGTGGTTGCCTCTCGCATGCCCCCTACTGGGGACCTGGCCTGCAACCCAGACATGCGTCCTAGACTGGGGAATCCAGCCAGCAGCCCTTTGGTTTGCATGCTGGTGCTCAATCCACTAAGCCACACCAGTCAGGGCAAGATGTTCGCTCTTTACTTTAGAAAGTGAACCTACTCTTTCCGCCCTGGCGTTGCCATATGGCTTATAGAATGAGCCTACTACGTTGTACCTGTTGTCAGTTTATTCTTATACAGAAGGAAAGGACTGATCTCTGTAGGGAAAATTAAATGTCTATTCGGGGTGAAGTGTCAATGCTACAAATCACATTTAAATTTTATTTTGGATGGAGATGCATATAAGCATAAGTGAAGAGCAAAGTTAACATCTTTAACTGGGGTCTGGGCACAATGGACAGGTGAGGCCGTTGATAGCTGGGGTCAACTTCTTGTAGCTAACCATGTGCTGCTATTGTAGACAAAAATGCTGCCTGCTGCTTTTTAAGCAGATGTGCTGAAACTTGATATCCAATTTGTTCTATATTCAGTTAATTCACATAGCAAATGTACATACTTCCCTCATAAGTTTTCAAAGTCAGTCTGCCCAAAGGAGGTCAGTCAGCACAGGCGACACCTGTCACCTGTCCCTCAGGTGCCATCTCCCTTGTAATTAACAGCCACGACGAGGGTGAGCTTGTAGGAGTTCAGCATATGAACCAGGCGTCATCTCTACAGCACTGAGTGGAGAGAGGAGTCAGACACCGCTGCCATTCACTTGGCCTTGCAGGCTTCTCCTATTGCATCGTTACATGAGAAGAAAACATGATTGCTAGGGATGAATTTGAAAGTGCGATAATTATGCCTCGAGAATAGTAAAGATGTGGGAGACCTAGGCCTTCCCAGGCCGTGTGTTTGAAAGTCTGTGTGGAGTCAGTGGGGACGGAGCCTGGGAACACTGGCAACGGCCCAGACCGGTGCACGCAGGCGAACCAGCTGCGTTGCTGTCCGCCTCCGCTGCACATGAGCGTGACTGCGAGAGCGCTTACATTTGATGGGTGACTTGTTCCCACCACCTCTCACCCCCCGAATTCTGATTTGATTAGTCTGAGGTGGGACACAGGCTTTTTAAAAAGAACTTATAAAGGGATTCTAATGTGCAGCCCAAATTCAGGACCAAATTCACTGGTATTACCCAAAACCTTCATTTTATACACTACAAAAAAATGAAGACAGAGATGACCTTTACTGACACAGGAGTTTAGTGGCGCATTTGGAAAAAATGTCCTGGTCACCTCATTTCCCAGGCAGCCCTGTCTCCCAACAGTAACCTGTGTCTGCCAGCGTGAGGAGGTAGATGGGAGGGGCAGGACCCAGGTCAGTGGAGGAAGGCAAGTCCCATTAGTAGGATTTGGGGCCCATTATGCAGGCCACTCCAAAGGTAAGCTGTGAAATAATTCTATGAGGAAGATGACTGAGTGTCTGGTGTATGTATGTGCATTTGCATAATAATGCATCTATTTTAAATGAACATGAAAATGATGAAAGTACACTTGAGTTTACATTTGAAGAGTTTCCTTTAAAAGTCTACCTATGGGGTTTTCTAAAGAAACCTAAGTAAATAACAGTGTATGTCGCATGTTACACGGCCCAAATCCTGACTGGTTGCATGACTAATTTGGAAAACCTAGCTTTGGGCGACCTCTAGTGTTTTGTTCTAGAAATGTAACTCCTCCCCCCACCCCACCTTTTAGAAAGTAGCATTGCTGATAAGAATGTTTGGGTGTTTCCTATCCCCAAGACTGACTCCTGTTAAACAACCTATTTCATACCACAAGTTGGAAGGAAGGTAATTTCCAAGGGAAGCACAAAGTTAATTTGTGTAGTAAGAGAGTGACGTATATATTAGAATGAATGATTTAGAGTTCTCTCCATGATTATTAGTAAATTAGAAGAGAGAGTGGAGGTGAAGGCTAATGACTGAAGGAAGGTGTGAGTGATGGAGCAGTCACACAACAGAATTAGGTGCATGTTGGCACTGGGTCCTGCTGGAAAGAATTTGAAGACAGACAACTTCCTAGCTTCGTGGCCAAGACTCCACTTCTTTTTCTGTTAAATAAAAATAATTGCACCCCCATTGTAGGGATGTCCTGAGGAGTAAATGAAAATGTATAAAACGAGCAGTAAAGAGTAATTGGCAGCTATTTTTATTACTATATGCAGTATTTCCTACATAGACTTACACTATAGAATATGAACGAAATTTATCTAAGTTTAACATCAGAATGCACCGCTTATTAAAACCTTGAGAACGTTTGGTATGATGGTTCTGTTTGCTTTAGACTGATTGTTGCTTTCAATGTTCCAGAGCAACAGTTTCCCCAGATGACTTGTATGTTTCATGAAGGTCTCACAGACAGCTATCAAGTCTGATAGATTGAAGATTTAGGATGACTGACGTCTTACTTACAGGATTCACAGTGTTTCACTGCAGAGCCCTGTGAATAGAAACATCTTGGAGACTCAGTAGCAGTCGGTGCAGGGGATGTATTCCTAGTCTTAGGCCTGATGGTCACCTTAGGTATAAGATTTCCATACGAGGATGCCAGGATTCTGTACAAGTTAATGCTGTATTGTAAACTGTCTGCTGAGACTATGGAGTTCAGAAGGAGTCCGACCTTCCTACCCTTTTACATTCAAGAGTTACCAGTTTGTGGCTTTGCTCACCACAAACCTAAACTGTTTGGGGTTGACACATACCATTTCACATGTATTAGAGTCATTCCTCGGCATTTTAGGTACACATGTGAAAATGACATCTAGGAATCTATTTGAAACATATGACAAATCAGATTTTTTTCATATAAAATTTTTTAAGAGTGTGGCATAGTGTCCATCTTCCCAGAAACAGTTTATGGAATAAAAAGCCTCATACTAAAGCTGATGGTAAAAGTGGAAGTTCAGAGTAAGTTATAGGAGGCCCACAGCATGGGATCAACAGGCCAGTCCTGCTGCCCTTTTGCTCTCCGGAGCCCAGTTTTGCTACATCCTAGTTGTGTGCAGGCCTGCAGCACGCGCCAGAAGACAGCCCACGTCTCAGGAAGAACCTGGTGTGCAAGAAGGACGGGATGCAGCCGGGTAGCAATCATGAGATCCCGCCATGGGCATGGAGACTACAGGGTTTCTCATTTCTCCTTCCCGACCCAAGGGGCAGGCAATCACACCCCTTCCAGACCTACCCTCCCTGTGGAGCCCTGAGATTAGAGGGATGAAACCGTCTGACAGCCGGGGGGCCCTGTTAACAAAATGTGTTCGTCAAAGTGAATTGATTTGCCAGGGTAATGTAACTCTTTTAACAAGTTCCTCCTCTTGCCCCCAGACTCTGGGGTCTAGCAAAATAGATTTCTGCTTGCTCTCATCAGAGTCCAGCATGATTTGCTGGAAGAACAGGAAGCACCTCTGCTCCACAAAATGACTCAGGACCTACGTTCTGTGTTTCTGTATATATACTACCTCATATAACCTGCTTGAGGAAGGTAGGCTCTGTGCTACACTCTTCCACTGGGTCTAATGCTGCCCTCTTCCACCCTTGGGCACCAAAGCCATAACAAAAGGAGAATAAAGAGCACATGGTATCACGCAAGAGGTGTTAGGATGTGTCTGGAAGTGGCAAATGACATTTCTGCCCACAGTTTTTAGCTTAGAACTCAATGTCCTGGTCCCAACATCACTGCAAGGCAGATTGAGAAGTGTGGCCTTCTATGAGCTCAGAGGAAAATAAAACGAGTTTGGCAAACATATAGCATTGTCTATGTCACAGAACATTTAAAAATACTCAGGTTTTCCCATGATGTAGCATACCAACATAGGAGGTACTGTCATTGGCTATGTTTATTATTGAACAGAAATGAATGTAAAACAGTTACTGAGTTAAATGCTCCATGAGTCAGAAAAACTAATCAAAAAGCACGAACTTTAAAAATTCCAAACTCTATCAAAATTGCCTCACAAACAGATTTTGGCCCAAGTAGCTTTTTTTGTAAAATTTCCTAGAATGTAAC